TCTTTAAGTGAGATCATATAATCTTTGTCCTTTTTAATTGACCTAATTCATTCAGCAATGTCTTCTAGTTCCATTCATGTTGTAACCTATATCATAACTGTTTCTCCAACTAGCCAAGTAACATTCCCTTGTTGGTATCTACTACTTTCGTGTATCCATTCATCTGTTAATGGGCATTTAGTTTGTTTTCACCTTTTGACTTGTTTATAGTGTTGGAGTAAACATTTGTGTACAAGTCTCTTTTTGAGTCTCTACTTTCAAGTCTTATGGGTATATGCCTGTAGACTTTATAGGGCCATAAGTTAGTTGTATCCTTAGATTTTTGAGGAATTTTCCATAGAAGCTGTATCTTTTGCATTCGCACCACCAAGGCAAGTGGGTGTTGATCTCCCCGCATTCTAGCCATATGTGCTATTTTCTGTGTTTTTGTTGGTTATAAATTTTAGCCACTGAAGTGGGAGTGGTTTTGATTGCTGTCTCTGGTGGCTAATGACACAGAGCATCTTTTCATGTGTATGGTGGCCATCTGAATTTCCTTCTTAGTGAAATCTCAACTGAGATCATTTGCACATATTATGTTTGGGTTGTTTGTCTTTTGGTTGATAAGCTGCCAACATTTTATACACATTTTTAATAGATTTTTGTCACATACATGTTTTCCAAAGATATTGTCCTAGTCAGTAGCTTATCTTTTCACTTAAAATTTTTTTTCTAAGTTTTTATTGTGAATTGAGTGATAGTTTACATAGTTTCATTGCAATGATTACAATCTCCTCCATGCATCATCATTCAACAGTATTTGCTTCTATTCCTTCTGGTTGTTGTCTTTTTGCTGTTGTTGTTTTTAGGGGGTGGGGATGTATACAGAAACACTCAGGACTATATAATAATTTAAACAACCAAAGGGCACATTAAGCAAGACTGCCTCCTGGCCACCAGCACACAGCCTTTCTCTTTCCATGAGTCTAGAGTCCTCAGCGGCTCTATTTCTTCATGCCCTCATCTCTGTCTCCATCTCTGGTGTCACTGCTACTCTGGATAGGGTCCCATATTCTGCTTGCGCCCTTCTCCCATGATGATCCTAGTGTCTTCTGTTCCTGGACTGTAAGATTAACTACTCTCCTCTTTTTGTTACAAAACTTCTACCTTTACAGTTGTGACAGTCGCAATTAGTCATGATAACAGTTACTCGCTATTGAATCATAAGAATCTTATCCCCATCTCTTTTCACCAGACCCATCTAGACAAGGTGAATACTACTCAGTGGGAATTCTACCTTCCCCTGTACACTCTGAAATGAAACTCCCTCTTGAAAACTTGTAAGCCAGTCACTTCATGCCTTTATAGCCCCTGCCCCCCACCCCATTTTAGGTAGACAGTGTCTAAGTTGCCAGTCCCTATCAACTCTATATACAGAGTAGATAGGAATGATCTTTGATGTGAATACTCCTTCCCTCTCAGTTGGCATTTTGAGCTACTACAATCACAAGTATAGGTCAAGTTCATCAAATTGTAACAATTTACACTTTTTTCCTTTATCAATTTTTTTTTTTTTTTAATCTTCCTCTAGTCGAGTTCTGATCATCAAGCCATTGAAGCTAGGCTGAGTGATTACTATCTACAAGTTTGGGCATTCTTGTGTATCTCCCCTCACTTCTTATTAGCTGTATACTTTACTCTCAGCTCTAGCCCTCTGTGGCTATGTCCTTGTCCATGGGCTCAGGGTCCCCAGGTCTCACCACACTTTGGACCAACCATCTCTTCCACTTCTCTTTCTCATCTCCAAGTCAGTGGGAGTCTATGGAATGTATTTGAACTCAGCCCATATCTTCATTGCTGCCTTTCCCCCTTTTCCACTCACCAGTAGACCAATGTGGTCACCAGCAAGCTTACATGCCTGCTCATGTGTTCCCTTTGAGTTTCAGCCTTGGAGACGGGTTTACCCTGAAGGGACTTGATTGCTTGTCTTGATGGCTCCCCAGCAAACAACTTGCTTGTTCTTGTAATAGCCAATCAGATTGCCATTTTTGTTTTGGATTTTTCCTGCTGTATTTCTTTCAAGAAGTGTCATAAAAAAAAAAAAGTGTCTTCTGTTCCTCAAGCTGGTCAGACCTACCTTTCAATTGGGAATGCCCCACCTCAGAAGGTTCTGGATGGGGCTCAGGATTCCACCTAAGGTCCTATACACTACAAAGGCTCTACAGTTAAGCATATTTCACTGGGAAAATTCTAGAACCCCTTTTAGGTATTCCAATCATTTAGAGCCTTAAGGCGAGCTTACAAGCTTTCTGTAATCATATTTTCCAATATTCCTTTATAACCCACTCAAGTGTCTATTTTACAGTAGTAGGCAAGGGAAACCAATATTCATAAGATAGGCACACATCTTAACATTATTAGTTTTTTGATGAGCAAGTTTTTTTATTTTTTATTTTTATGGAGTTCCATTTACTTTTTTTCCTATTTGTGCTTTTGTTATTATTTTAGATAATTCATTGTCAAAAGTTAGTTCTGGATGTCTTGTCTGTATACTTTTTTCTAAGAATGTTGTAGTTTTAGTGTTCACATTTAGGTCCTTAAGCCAATTTTAGTTTCTTTGTATGTATGGTATGAGTCATGGATCCTGTCTCATTTTTCTGTTTGTGGGAACAGTTTTCTCAGAACTGTTTATTGACAAGACTCTTCTTTACTCCATCAAATTGGATGTGACATTCTTGTCAAAAATAGTTGACCATATTTTTGGACTCTCCGTTCTATTCCAGTGGTCTAAGTGTCTACCATTATACCAGTACTATGCTATTTATGCTGTAGCTATATGCTGTTGTTGTTGGTGGTGGTGTTAAATGCCATTGAGTTGGTTCTGACTCATAGCGGCCCTGTATAGAGTTTCTGAGGAGTAGCTGGTGAGTTTGAACCACCAACTTTACAGTCCAAACCAACCTTGTGGTTGAGTGCTTGTATAGTATGTTTTAAAATCAAGAAATGTGAATCTTCCTACTTTGTTCTTTTAGCATTGCTTTAGCTATTTGTGGCCTGTTATCCATCTATATTAATTTGAGGTTTTGTTTTTTTCTAATTCTATAAATACAGCTTTTGAAATTTTGCTTGAGACTGTACTGAATCTCTAGATCACTTTGGACAGTATTGACATCTTAACAATATTAAGTTTTCTAATTAACCAATCTTTCCATTTAACTCTTTAGTAATCTCTTTGGATAGTGTTTTATAGTTCTTACTGTGTAAATCCTTTATGTCTCTGCCTAGATTTATTCCTAGGTATTTTGTTCTTTTAGATACTAATATAAATGAAATTATTTCCCTAATTTCCATTTCAGATTTCTCATAGAAACCCAACTGATATTTGTTTCTTGACCTTGTACTCTGAAACTTTGCTCTGTTATTCCATTAGCTCTGGACATTTTCTTGTGGATGCTTTGGGATTTCTGTATAAAGATATCAACCATATTTTTATGCCAAGAACGTGCCTTTTTTAGGATTGCTGTTTTCCCTAATTGCACCATCCCCTTGTCCTAAGTACTTTTGTAAGCATTCTATTATAATTTTTTACAGCAGCATTTTTAAAAATTAGCATAGCACTTGCAAATTGTCTCACTGGGAGAGAATGTGGCTGGCAATATATAGATATGTGTGTGTGCACGTGTGTCATGTGTATTATTCACATTAAAATATAGTATTTGTGTGAGGGTCATCTACCATTTGGACAGCCAATTGAATATGAAAATTCCTATCATCTTTCACAATGGTACATCATGATAACTGAGTTTTATGTTCTACTGTACATGGCTTTCTGTAAGGTGTCACAGATAAGCTATGGGGCATTTAATCCTGATTTGGAAAGAGATTAGAATCAATGGGACCCTAGATGTAATTTGGTAGAGCTGCTTCACCATACAAATGAAGACATTAAAATCATTAAAATCCATGAACGTTAAAGGCTTTCATTGCTCAATGTCTCATAGTTACTGGCAATGTATGTGCTCATGAACTTTATAGTCAAAGATGCCAAAGGTAGCCTTTAACTGTATTGTCTTTTTTTCTTGTAACATTAGAGTCATGTTTTGATATTGATCTGACTCTGCCTACCTATTTAAATGGATAAAATCAGCAGCCACCATTGTGATACATTTCACTAATAATAATGGTAAGGTAAAAAATGCCATTGATTCTGACTCATGGTGTCTTCACATATGTCAAAGTAGAAGTGTGTAATACAGGCTTTTCAAGGGCTGATGTTTTTCAGTAGCTCACCATGCCTTTCTTTTCAGGTGCCTCAGGATAAACTTGAACATTCAACATTTTAGATAATGAAAGTTTGTAATAATTGAGTGCCTGCTATAGGCCAAGGAACTCTGGTAGCATAGTGGTTACAAATCAGGCTGCGAACCACAAGGTCAGCAGTTCGAAACTACCAGCTGTTCCGCAGGAGAAAGATGAGGTGCTCTGCTCCCGTAAAGATTTACAGCCTCGGAAACCCTGTACAGGGTCGCTATGAGTCGGAACCAACTCCATGGCAAACAGCTGCCACTAAAGGCCAGGCACAATAAGCTAGGTTGTTTTTGCTGTTAAGTGCCATCAAGTTAGTTCTGATTCATAGAGACCCAGAATAGGGTTTCTAAAGAGAGACTGGTGGGCTTGAACAGCTGACCTTACAGTTAGTAATCCTGTACTTATCCTACAGCACAACATCAGTACTCTGTAAGGTTGTTATTATAATCATTGTTGTTATAACAGTTAATTGTCGTCAAGTCTATTCCAGCTCATAGCGACCCTATATAGGGTTTAGTCCCTTTAAGAAGAAAAATGTGACTCTAAGAGATTACATAAGAGACAGAGCCAAGATTTGAGCCTGTAGTCTGTCTGACTCCAAAGTCTGTGCTTCTGACCACTATGCTATGTTTTATCACACTTACATGAAGTTAAGTTGGCATTTACTCTCTCCTAAGTAAAGCTCTTACTCAGAACTCTCCTGCTTTTTTCAGGAACACCAGCTGAATACAAAATCTGGAGCTCCTGTCTTGAAATGCCCTGGTTTTGGCCTCACCATACCTAGTCATCTCTGCCCTCCAAACAGCTGCAGCAGCAGTGAACTGTCTCTATCAAGCACCTGCAGTGAGTACTCCAGCGGCTCCTCCTACACCTGGCATGATGGGAAGACCCCAGGGAAAAGGGTAAGACTAACTTTCAAGGCACTTCAGTATCAGAGCGAACCAGAAAAGTATCCTCTTTCTAGCAGGTTTTGGTCATGGAGGGTTAGCCAAGAAGGAACCAATCCTTGCTACCTATTCATTTATTCATTAACAACCTGTGATATGTAGATGATAGAACCTTGCTTTCTGAGAACTTAAAATATTTACTGATGAAGATCAAAGAGCACAGCCTTTAGTATGGATTGCATCTCAATGTAAAGAAAACAAAAATCCTCACCACTGGACCAATAAACAACATTCTTATTAATGGAGAAAAGATTGAAGTTGTCAAAGATTTCATTTTGCTCAGACCAACTATTAACACTCATGGAAGCAGCAGTCAGGAAATCAAATGGCGTACTGCATTAGGCAAAAACACTGTTTAAAGTGTTGAAGAGTAAAGACGTCAGCTTGAAGACTAAGGTATGCCTGACCCGAACTATGGTATTTTCAATAACCTCATATGCATGCGAAAGCTGAACAGTGAATAAGGAAGACCATAGAAGAATTGATGCACTTGAGTTATGGTGTTGGAGGAGAATACTGAAGGTACCATGGGCTGCCAAAAGTACATACCGATCAGTGTTGGAAGAAGTGCAGCCAGAATACTCATTGGAGGCCAGGATGGCCAGACTTTGACTCTCATATTTCAGACGTATTGTCAAGAGGGACCGCTCACTAAAGAGGGATATCATATTTGGTAGGGTGGAGGGTCAGAGAAAATGAGGAAGACTCCAAGTGAGATGGACTGACAGAATGGTGGCATCAATGGGCTCAAGCATGGCAGCAATTATGAGGGTGACCCAGGGCCAGGCAGTGTTTTGTCCTGTTGTGCATAGGGTCACTATCAGTCAGTACCTACTCAATGGTACCTAACAACAACAACAACATTTATTACTCACAAAAACCATATGGGAGATGTTATTCTCCCTGTTATATAGAAGAAAGGAAACTGGTTCAAAAAAGGCGGTTACTAACCAGAGATTATGTAGCAGTTAAGAAGTGGAATGATGGTTTCACGAAATAATTCTGCCATCTTGGGAAGGAGTTTGGAAAAAAGAACATTTCCTCTTTTTGTTTTGGTGGAGGCCACCAGCGTCATAAATTTCTATTAAACTGTAACATGGAGCTCTAGCCTAATGGAACTGACCGCCCTTTAGACCACCTCAGACATTTCCTATTAATTTGTCTTGTCCGTTGTTGTGCATCTTGTCCATTATTGTGATAGGCAGAGACTTGTTAATATCTGCAGTGAAGATGATCACTCACCAAACCATTCCAGAATAAGAATTCCACAAAAATTCTAAGGTAGCTTCTTTTTCTAAAGAATAAGAAGTGTGGTAGTTTATCCCAGTTAAAATGTCCAGAACTTGTTTTATAGAACTTTAGTCCTCATGAATGGCATGAATAAGGAGAGCTTCCAAAACCTTGTGGGAAAATTTCATGATCTTTTCATTCCACTTTTCAATGAGCTTTTTGAAGTCCCTTTGTATTATATTTATCTCCTCTACTCAATACTATGGAGTCCTGGTTTGGCTCTGTGGGATAAAGCACTGGATCACAAGGTCAGCAGTTCAAACTCACCAGCCATTCCTTGGAAACCATATGAGTTGGAACCGACTTGATGGCACATAACAACAACAATCCAATACTATTTAGCTTTATAAAATACTGACTATAAATTGGAAGGCAACATAGTAGAGAGAGAATTTACCATCATAGAAGATAGAAATCTCAACGTCAGTAAACACAGGCATATTATCTCCACCAATAATCTAGGTATTCCTTTATGAGATTCTTAAATAACTCTACTTCTAGATGATTCTCATCTGCAAAGTGGACTTACATAGTTGGAGATCCCTCTAGTCTTTGAACAAGCATCTTTGCAAGCTGTTTTACTAATGTTGGAAAAAACAAGGAGTACGCAAGAATCGAAACTCCATATCACAACATGTGGAGATAATTTTTCTACCATTTGTATAAATTTAATTTTAAGATTTCAAAAACATAGAAACCAGAAAAATTCCACAACTCCTAGGAAATGTTGGTGAGGGAGTAGCTTTGACATACCCTGAAAAGGAACTGAGGGGAAAAAAAATTTCAAGCTTGAATTTAGAGCTTACTCCCTGGACTCAGACTTCTAATGCAAACTATGGAGAGGGATATGTTATCAAAATTGCTCCCTTTAGGGAGCTGTCCAGAGTTCTGAATAATGACCACGAGGGGCCTTGCACCTACCTGGGGAAACGATCAGGAGAGTTTCCCCTTTTCCTGTTATCACTGGCTCCCAGAGCCCTTTTCTCTCCTCTGTTCACTCTCAAACTTCTCCCCTCCACTCTCTCTCTGCTTTCTTTCATTCTTTCTTTTTTTTTTTTTTTTTTGCTGAAATTCTTCCAATTTGAGCAGTTCCTAATATTCTAAGAAACTTCTGCAAAGGAGGAAAATGAAGATACTTAAGACAACCCATTCACACACAGGTATCCTCAGGATGAGATTTACTCATGAAGTACCATGTACATCTGGTATACCACACAATGAAAACTCGTGATTTTCTGGGACATAGCAAAGTAAACAATGTCCAAGCATCAGCATCTTTGTGAATCCAGCCCCTAAAAGACATTTGTAATTTATATCATGCAAGGAATGCTTCTACAGTTCTTATCCTATGCCAGCTACTCATCTAGTATTGACTTCCAACATAAAGTCATAGAATATGAATTTGAATAGCAATACAATAGTAACTCATCTAATACTTATTATAAAACGAAAGTTTCTATTTTAATTCATAAATATTTTTTTAAATAATTCTTTTGTGTAGCAATGTGTAGAAAAACTGCATCAAGAACCTGCCCTCCAGTGAAGGATTTGGCTCTAATGAATGAATCATTACTATGTGGAACACAGGTTTAGGCACTTCTGAAGCATTCACTCATTTATTGCTCACAGCAGACATTTTAAATACGTCATCTGAATCCCCTCTGTCAGAGTCTTGGTATGGCACTGTGGGATAATGCACTAGATTGCAAGGTTAGTTTTAACTGCAAGGTCAGCGGTTCCAACTCACCAGCTTCTCCTTGGAAACCCTACACAGGGTCACTATGGGTCGGAACTGACTCAACAGCACTTAACAACAACAACAGCAATCCCCTGCATTTCAGATGAGAGGTGAGACGTTGAGAAGTTAAGTAACTGCTCTGTGATATCACAGCCGGTAGTGTCAGAACTGACACTGGTTTTCTGACCTTTCACTCAACTATTCTGCTATTCTGGGCTTGCCAAGTGTGCAAAGCTTGGCAGGTTTGCTCAGTAGTTGAGATCGATTACCCCTTTGTCCCTATTAAAGCTAAGAATGACATTTCTTTGAAAAGAATTGTAAAACTATTTTCTAGATAAGAAAATGAGAAGGAGTGTGTGCCTTTAAGGAGTCTCTGGGTGGCACAAATGGTTAAGAACTCAGCTATTGACTGAAAGGTTGCTGGTTAGAATCCACCCAAAGGCATCTTGGGAGAAAGTCTTGGAAATTTATTGCTGAAAAATCAGCCACTGAAAATACTATGGAACACAGTAATACACCAACACACCTGGGGTCATCATAAGTTGGAATCCACTCAGTGGCAATGAGTTTGCTGAGGTTCTTTTGGAAAGATTGAACCTAAGGATATCCCTGATTAGTAACATCTTTCAATTGATGAAGTTTCCCCTAGAGCCACTCTCTTCAAACTTTTCCCATCAAAGGATGAAGTTGCCAGTAAGAAACACCACTTCCTCCCCCTCACTGATTTTGCAAGGACTTCAAGTTTTGTTTGTTTGTATTTAAGTTTCAAGATTGGCCGAACCTTTTCTCAAGTTATTAAAAACCACGACCCTCCTGAGGATCACTGACTGTGAAATGTGGCTAATCTCACAGGGCAATGAGCTGGGACTCTTGGGTTTCAGCTGCTGACTCTGAATTGAATCAAACCACAGTATGGGAGACCCTGGAGAGGCAGCAGGGAGACAGAACACCATTTCTTATGCATTGAACAAATCTTCCTTTTCCTAGTTTGTGTGGGATACTTTTGCCTGGCTTCTCTCCTTTGTTGTGAGTTTGACAGTCAGGATGTTGGAAATGCTTCAGATCCCCAGCTGTGACTGTCTGCTCACTGGTTGGTCTATAACATTCAGATTCACTAATGGGATTTCTTCTTGTACCAAAGGGGTTTTCAGTGGTGTAGTGGAAGAGGAGGTAAGAGAAGGGAAACATCATTAAAGAGGTTCTACTTCAACATCGCCTAACACTGGGAAATTTTCTAAAGAAAATATATTATTTGAGTAAAATAATAATAATAATAATAAGCACATGCACGTTGTTGATAACAAGTGCCATTTTGATCAAACTGTCTTAGATGTAAGCACATGTTCACTGCTTACTAAAACAGTCAAGGTTCCAAAGGAAGTTTGTGGCAAGTTTTCAACATTAGCATGTGGTGCTCTGGATATGAATGAGTACATCAAGAACGTGCAGAGCTCTGGGGGAGGAAGGTATGTGACAAGCCTGCACACTGAAACCAGGAGATTCATCTACTGAAGTCCCTCAAATGAAACAGATGTTCTTTTAAAAGATTAATTAGGCCAACGCCCACATTCTACTAATTTACCTAAATTCTGGTTTGTTATTGAAACGTGCAAATTGCATTCAGGAGAGGTGTCAAGGATAATCCTATTATGGCACTGATTAATGGAGGGGGAAGAAGCCAGACCAACCCTGACTGCAGTAGTTTAGCATCCTTAGTAGGAATGTAGGCTCTAAAGCCAGACTGCCTGGGTTCAAATCTTTGCATAACCATGTTTATTTGAAACTTTTAAAAGATGCTTTTGTGAGAGAAGGTGTATGGAACAGATTACCAGTTTTATATTCAATCATATACTTTGTTTCGTCTCAGTGATTGCAATCCCCTCCATGCAATAACAAGTATCCCACCTCCTTCCTGTGGGTCCTGTTT